CCGGCCCCGGGCGCTGCAGGCTGGACGCGGCCCGCGCTTCACTCCGCGCTCTCGCACACACGCGTCGGGGGGGCGCCCCGCGCCGCCTTAAATACCCAGCGCCAGCCCGATGAGGTCACCGCGCGCGGCCGGGATTGGCTGCAGATGACGTTCTCGTCGGGGTCCATTTGCATGGGGGCGGGGCATGGCCGCCACGCCCCCCACTGGCGCCCCCGTCCCCATGGCGACCGGCCTGTAAACTGCACAACAGCGCGGAGCCTCCTGGGTTGATGTCATAGGGGGAGGGGTCACGGGGTGTTTGCACAGCGGGCCTGGCCCGGGATATTTATAGGCGCGCTGGGAGCTGCCAGGCCTGGCTCAGGCACCCCCCAGCGGCCGGCTCTGGCCAGCGCCCCGGGGTGCAGCAGGGAGCGGGACCCTCCCTGGCAGCAGCTGGAATCCAGCCTCCTGCCAAACCCCGTCACCCTGTGAGGCCAGGCAGGGCCAGATCAGCTGCTCAGACCTCCTGCTGGTCCCCGCCACCAGCACCCCCTCGCTAAAGCCACCCCCCCCCCACAATGAGACCAAGGGGTCACAGCCCCCCAGGACTGGACCAGTCCCTCCTGCACCCCCACTAGCTTCCGCAAGCACGGGGGCTGCTCCGCCCATCTAGCATCAGGCCCCCGTTGGGTACCCAGCCCCAGGGGCAGTTCCCCTCCTCCCCCATTTCAAGGGGGAAGCAGGTGCCATACAGTCAAATCCAAACCTCACCTTAGCAGAGGGGGTGTTTTGACTTCATTTACCTTCTCCATGGTAACACGTTGGTATAAATGAAGACTACACTGAACTGATGCCAGGCTGGAGGGCCATGGGGTGGTTCAGGGCTGGCACTTGTTCATTACAGGCTGATTCTGGGGGAGGAGGGTCTAGTGACATGCAATTACCTAGTTGGACGAAGGGGGGGGGGGGAGAGATTTAAAAAGCCAATACAACTGGAAAGGAGGGAGCTGTGAGGGGGAGCTGAGATTTCAGCTGTCTCTAATTTGTTAGTCTCTAAGGTGCCACAAGTACTCCTGTTCTTTTTGAGATTTCAGCTGTCACTTAAGACTAGAGCAATTAAAGCTCCACATAACATTACCCCAGAAAATACCCAGTGGTGCAAACAGGCAGGGCCAGCTAGGTCAGTGGCAAAACAAACCTTTCACTCACTAAGAGTTTTCAGCCTTCAGGCAAACACCTCATACCAGAGTAACCCACCTTCGCTGCACTGCACAGCAGCCTTCAAACACCAGTGCCAGCATTCAGACTTCTGGCTAAGTCTGTCAGCTGCTTTATTGACCATTTCCTGATTGGGCCTTCAGGTCCCTGGCCTGCCTCCTTACTTCATCCGAAACACCTGTGTGGGAGCCAAACAGAGAATTAACTCCTTACTTGCTTGAAACCAAGATCGTCCTTTGCAATTTGCAATAAGACTAGAACAAATCTGAGACTGTTGTGATTCCCCCATTCAGTGTCTGTAGATACCGGTCGGGCTGGAGAAAGATTTCCTACTTTATCATGAATTGTGACTAGGTGGTAAGAGACTAGTTCACCAGGGGTGCTGCAGAAGGATGTCACAAGCAGAGGACTATGGAAAAGCAACTGAACTTCTTTCATTTAAACACGTTCATATTTGCTCCGCTGACTCGAGGAGACAGAGGGAGCAAAATCCCTCCGAAGCCCAGACGTGAGCTGGGATTGCTGTAGAGGCAGCATGTGCAGCCCGCAAGGAGTGGCCCTGCTTTTCTCTTCACCTGCCTCTGCTTGACTGGAGGAAGTTGTCCCAGTGCAAGGTTGTTTGGGATGGGGGGATGTTCCCGGAGAGCTGTGTGTTCGACAGAACTGGAAGGACGCCCGACTTGGCCACTTCTGCAGAATCAGTGGCGGAATCGTCATTTTCGTAAAAGTTTCTGTATTCCAGAGTTTTGCACATACCTTTTCTATGCTTCTCTCTGCAATCAAAAGTCTTAGTCCAGCGCCCGCTAGGGCAACAGCAAAACTCCCAGTCAGAACCAGTGGGCTCCCTGGACCTGCTCCACACCGCAGACATTCACAAAGCCCAAAGCTGAGGGGCTGGCTCTGTGCAGTTTGTGCCTGTGCTGGACTGCAAGAGGAGGCAGCAAAGGGTTAATATTACAGGGCTCTATTCAAAATGAAGTGTAACTCGTTTGGGGATGAAAAACAGAAACAGCCTTCAGATAGGTGGGGCGGAGGCAGCCCTTTTCCTCCAGAAGGTTTGGGGGAGGCCTGGCCTCTTTTCCAAGCACGTAGAAGCTCGAGTGGCAGATCTGGGTTCATACAAACCCTCACCAGCTAACACAAGCTTATTCCTGCCCAAACTAGTGATGTTTGTGCCCTAAAGGAACCTGCATAGCAACCAGGCAGCGGGGCTGGCTGGCTTCCAGCAGGCAGAGTGCAGCGGCACTCAGACCGTCGCCAATATTTTATTTCATTTTGTATTTATTGGCAATAAAGGATTGTACACAGCCCTTCCCCCCACCAGACTGTGATTTGGCACAAACACGTGGGCTGGAGCCCGCAAGGCGAAGGGACGAGATCCTCTAGTCTGAGCTCCTGTTGTGCGTAGGCCACTAGCCCCACCAGCCGAAAGGAGACCGCAGGAGTCTAGGCTGTATGTGCCACAGGACGAGAGTAGGAGGGGTCGAGATGCGCCTGAGGCCCCGCAGGGGCAGGGAAATGATTGTGAGATACACCCAGATAATCCAGGCAAGAGACCCGCACCTCACGCTGCAGAGGAAGGTGACCTGCCGGTCTGACCTGGGGGGAAATTCCTGCCTGACCCCACACATGGTGACCAGTTAAACCCTGAGCACACGAGCAAGAACCAGCCAGCCCAGCCCCTGAGAGACACACTGCTCAGTGCCACCCCATAGCCCTGGCCCTGCCCATCCAATGTCCCAGATCCAGCCAGAGCCATCCCTGTGATGCTTCAGAGGAAGGAGCTCAACCCTCCTCCCCCAGAATCCCCTGGGAGGGATCCCTTCCTGACCCCTGCCGGTGGCTGGCTGAAATGCTGAAGCATGAGCCAACCTAAGACACAGACCCCAAGTGAGCCCCAGGCTGTTGTGCTCTGCCCCCCAAGTGCAATCAGAGCTTTGTTGTGAGTCCTCTTGCAGTGTCATCTGTCCCCTCTGGCCTTACGGCCCGGCCTGCTGCTGAATCTCCTGATTGTAGAGCGCTCAGAAAACATCAGGTGCGAAAGGACTCCTCCTCTCTCGCCCCTCACAGAACCAATTTCTGCTTGTCAGTGGGGCCCCACTACAATTCAGCCCCAGGCCTTTCAGCACAGAAAGTCTCCCAGAGGAGCTTTATGGCCTTATATGGTTCGGGCTCTAACTACCTCCTCTGTCCCCTGCGCCTCCAAGGTCAGCCGAGGTGCTCCTGCTCTCAGACCCTAGATGTGAACATCTGGCAGCTGCTGACAGGCCATTCTCAACAGAGGCCCCTTGACTCTGCCTCTTGCTTCCCCGCTGACCCCCCAGAGCCCCCGTTTGCTAACCTTGGGCGTGGTGCGAGGCCTTTGCCTGAGGCTGGCCATGTGGGCAGGACGTTAAGGCTTGTGGCTCAGGTTACCGGTTGGAGAAGCTGCCGCTGAGTTTCTGCGTTCTATAGCTGTAAAGTTCAGGAATGGCTTTTTCACAGCCAGTTGTAGGCAGGACCATGTGGAAGGTGCAAGGCGATGAACTGTAGTTTTGAATGACTGTGGATGCCCCTAGGGTCTTAGGCAATGGGCGTGCGTCTTTCAGCAATCTAAATCCAAAGATAGACTAGCTAACCCGGGCTTAGGCCGCAGTCTCTGGCATTGTGAACGCTCCGGGATGGCCATCCTGCAGTGCGAGCGAGCGTCCCAGACACGAGTTAGTGCACCACAAATAGCCGTGTGGACGCTGCAGCTCGGACTCTCCAGCTCACCCGACCCCCTAAGTCTGAGCTCGGGGCTAGCCCAGGCGGCCGCCCAAACTGCAATGTCCATGCTGCTGTTTTTAGCGTGTTAGCGCAAGCCAAGTTCATGTGAGTCGATCTGCCCGCGTTGGGAGGCTCAGTCCCGGCACCAGTGCAGACATCCCCTAAGGATCCTCCGTACGCTGTACCAGTGCAAATCCTCCGCACTTCCCTGCGTGGCCAGTGATTGGTCTGAGGCTAATCTCCATTGTACAGACATGGGACAGAGATGAACTGATCTGGCCAAGGCCACAAAGTGAGTCAGTGTCAGAGAGTGGGGGAGTGCTTGGCGCCCAGTGTTCTGCTTAGTGAAGGACACTCACTTCTGAGCAGCACCACGCAGTGCGGCTGGGACATGCTCTTCCCGCCACAGAGGCAGCTGGTTTCATTGCCCTGGGTTTCACGGTGTTCCAACTTGCCTGGACGTTGTTTTCGTTCTCACATCGTGACAGGCTCTGTGAAGCTAATTGTGGCCTCGTTTCGTCTGGGCTCTGTAATTGGGTTGCCACAGGGCGGCACGCATCACAGCCACAGCAGCCCTGGCCATGCCAACGCTGTGCCAGGGCTCGGCCCCGTTCCAGGCCACAGGGAAGCAGAGCGCTCAAGCAGCAGCTCTGTGGCCAACTTAAGTACAATGTCTGCTATTTCAAAGCATGATTTTCCAGACCAAAATGCCTCGGTGGGTCGAGCTGTTCTGAGCCACTCCAAACTAGCAGGCCTGGACAAATCGATATATCTACACACAACTCCAGATCCACCCTCAGGACCCCAGGGCACGTGCAGGGCTGACCCGGCTCAACGGACTGACATCCTGTGTGGATGTGCAAAGGAACATTCTCACATGGGCCGAACGCCTGCAACACAAGTCTCAGGCTAATGCAGTTTGTCATCCTTGCCTGTCTCCTGGCATTGCCAGGGCTCTGCGTCTGCCTTGTCACTGGGGCCAGATCAGGGGAGCTATCGCTGCAAGTCACTCTGCTAGCCCAACAGGTTTGCCCCACATCCCCGGCACACCCATGGTGCTCAGAGGCAAGACAGTGGAAATACACTGGCGGAGAGCACTAAACCTTAGCCTGGAATTTAGACTTTTTCCAGGAATGTGTGGTCCCACTGTGACTCCACAGAACAGCACAGCACCCTGGGGTTAGGAGGGCATGCAGCCGGCCAGGGCAGAATGGCTGCTGACTCCTAGGATGACATCCTGGGTGCACTGGAGGCAGTGGCAAAACACCCCAGGGCCAGGATTTCACCCCCCGGCTTTGTGTTTGTTCAGCAGAGTTGCCATTAGTTCAGCCTACTTTTAAAAATTAATGATCTGAGCCCCCAAGTAACCCAGGGGCCTGGGTGCTGCCCCCCCCAGTGTGCAGCAGAGTCCCCCATTCAGCTTTCCAAGGGCCCTCCCCGGGCGTGCAGGGCCAGTGGGATCTGTCCCTGACTGAGCAGAGCCCAAGGATTCAGGAAGCACAGGAGCAAGGCCTTTGGCATGGTAAGAAGCATGTGATGCAAGTTACAGGAAGGGGAGCAGGAAGTGCCAGTTGGCTCGGCCTCGGGCAGTCCAGCAAACCTGCCTGGTGCCCCAGAACAGCTGAGAAGCGCTGCACCATACTAGCAGCACTGTAGGATCGAGCCCATTCCCAGGCAGGGCTGAAGGTTACTCCTGGGGTTGCTGAGGGAGTTTTTCTTCATCAGTTGTGAGCTTTACACTGTCCTGCTACATAAAGCCAGGAACAAGGGGAAGACTGGACAATAAATAACAATCCGCATGGCCTTCGGAGGAGTCTCTCGTACCTCAATATGCTCCCCACTGCCAGGCGGCAGCTTGGGCACGGCACGCAGCAAGTCTTCTTAGCATGCCACTCACTCGAGAGGGGAAAACAAAGCGATTTCCCCGCGTTTGCTGCAGATTGCAAAGGCCAAGTGGACATGCCAGAGTGCCAAGGCTGAGGCTGCAGGACGAAGTCCCTGGAGCCCGGGTCGCCATCAGGGCATGCAGCAGAAATCCAAGAGGAAGATCTCAGAAAACTCATTCTGTAACAACAGCCCCATCTTGCCTGTGCATCACAGAGGTGACGTCTGCCCTGCCCCTCGCTGCTGCTTTGAGTTTGGCGCCGAACAGGCCCCAGCCCCGCTTTGCTCACCTCAGACTTTATGGTTTGGATTATTTGCATTAAGTCATGTCTGTCTGAACGCTTGTGCCTCATGACCTCACTCCCAGGTCCCTGCAAAGCCCTAATAAAGCTTCACAGATTACAGTCCCCTCCATTCACACCCATACAGAGCGAGCAGCTGATGTGCGGCCCGAGGGGGTTCATGTGCTCCGAGCACTGCCCCTGCAAGCTGCCCAGACAGCATCCCAAAGCTGTTTTCAAGCCATCCCAGCTGAGATGCGCAGGCCCCGGGCGGGGTTAGAATTAAAGGGGTCCTTCCGAGCCTGGTTTTACGACTCTCTCGTGACTTGGCTCTGCTGACCATGGAGGGGTTGGGCCTGGTGCCCACCTCCTGCCCAGCCCATTGGGCCCCCGTGTCCCAGCACAGCGCCAGGCTCTGCCCAGCTGTGTGACAATCCTGGAGACAATGCATCCAGAGATGGGCTCCTCCTCCTTGGAGGGCTTTTCCCATGTGCAGGGCCCCCTGCTGTGCAGAGGGGCCAGCCCGAGGCACCCCGGTCAGCCCCGCAGGGGCTCGGTGGGGAATGGGGGGGAATGCTCAGCCGGAGGGGGAGGGGCAAAGAGGAGAAAGCAGCAAGGTGAGGGGGAAGGGAGGAAGGGGAGATGGGCTGGGGAGGGGAGATGTGGGGCAGAGGCAGAACGGGGGGGGGGGCTGCTCTCCTTCCCTTTGCTCTGCTCTCTCCTCTCTGTCCAGCTCTCACTTTCGCTCCTCCCCAGGGGCAACCTTCCCACACCCCAGGGGTGCTCCCTTGTCAGAGCAGGCCGGAGACACCAGAAATGACTCAGCTGCCTTCCCCAGAGGCCGTCCATGGGCAACAACGTGCAGCATCCCTGCCCAAAGGTTGTTGTGTGGGCGCAGAGGCGGGCAATATCCCACGGTAGGTGCCCACCACTCTGGTCTCTCCTCCCCAGGCAGGCTGGTAGCCATAGGAGAGAGATCTCCAGCGAGGTCGGGCTTTCAGTCCAGTCAATTGACTCACTGTAATTTGATCCCCCCGGCTAGAAGACCTGACCATCTGCTTCCCTTTATTCCCGGGGGAATGCTGGGAATACAGGACAGCCGCGTCAGCACATGGCCAGCGTATGGTTTGCAAATCTAGGTTGTGTTGCCTTTTTCCAGACACAGCCCAGTGAGGCAGGATCTGTTGCACTGGTCCAGCTACATAGACTCCATCGGGCGCACGGGGGCTTTGGTTTTTAAGGTCAATAAACTATCCAGGAAACGTTAGCTCAAGGCCCCTGGACGTTATAGCCCAGGAGAGGGTGCCAAGCAAGGCCAAGTTCTTGAGGCATAAGAATGCAG